CGCACTTCGACGCTACAAATCCGGACTGCTAGTCCAAGTTCACTGATTGCACCCGGGATGAGTGTGCGTCCGTTCAATGTGTGCGAAAGATACTTATATTTCATTCAGCTGTAATCGCGGAGAGTGGCTGGCGGGCTTTGCCGCGAGACATTGGGAAGTTTGTGTCGGTGGCCTGAAAGTCCTGAAACGGTTAACATGTTTCATGCGCATTTTTCCACTTTCCCTAATCACTGCCGGCAGATTTGTTGTGTTTCTCAAACTTGCCTTCTCTCATCATCATTTCGAGCCGTGTTTTCCAAAACGCGTGTCCCCTCTTTTGTTTTAACCCGCGTTGCAGGGGCAGGCTACCCAATTAACTTAGTGGGGACGATGGAGTTCGTGTAAGAAAGTCTTGTAGACCATGAGCCACAATAATTCCCGCCGACATAGAAACATGTTTACGCCTCATTTTGAAGGCCGTCACTGCAACCTCGTCCCCTTGGTCTGGGCCTTACTGAAAAACAAAACTCACCCAAACGACGATCAGCGTAAGTCTACTACGCTTTTTAGTGTTCGAGAGTTTTCGTTAAAGTCATTTCACATGGACACTTCCGAATGACATAGGCAAACTTTTGGCATAGAGAAATCCCAAAGGATACTTAAGAGGATTTCTCTCCATGTTGTCGGTTGCCTAGAAATACACTTAATCTTAATCCTGCTCTAGCCGAGTGAACTCTTTGTTTCCATGATCCCGGCCCCTAGGTCAGTGGGACCTGTGTCCATAAAACAAATTGTGGAATTCCAACTCAGTAAACTCCGAGGAAGCATGCACAACAGAGAAAGCATTCGAAAACTGGGCTTCATAAGGTCATTTATAAAAATATCCGCCTGCCGCAAGGATCTTCATCAATCAAGTTTGTGTCGTTCTAATTTAGCCTCAACCGCTCCTTCGCATGACGTAGTTGAAACAAGTTATCCAGTGGAAATGAATAACCTCTACACAATGTTCTCCAAAATGGGCACCCGCATGACTTTATAGGTCAATGCATGAGGCACCAGTTATTCAAGAGAAAAGGTATTTCCAATGCTTCGACCGCTCGGGCACCAAAACCAACTACCTGGCGTACACACCCATACGTGAGAGATGTATCTGAACTAGTTGAAAGACAATTTAAAAAATTTCAGATACAAGTAGCACACCAGCCGGCAACTACCTTACGCACACAGCTTGTACACACTAAGGACAGGGTTAGCAATCTCGATAGAAATGGTGTTGTCTACAAGATCCCGTGTACCATTTGTGATGGCGTCTATTGTGGCCAAACTGGGAAATCCGTCTCAACCCTTACACATGAACATCAGTTAGCGATAAAAAGACGTGACCATCTACCCCAGGTGGCCATGCACACACTGGACACTGGGCACAAATTTTCATGAGAAAACACTCGCATTGCTGGCGCCTGCCCAATAAGGAAAGGCCGCGAATTCGTGGAGGCAATGTACTCAGATGAGGCACGCATCAACCGGCATATCGATCTAGATGGCACATGTAAAATCGTTAAGGACAGATTCAAAATGACCTAACTAGTCCGAAAAGATTACTTTTGCCAAGCATTGAATCCTTTGTCAGACTCGGCCAGAAGTTAATTGTTTTTGCACGCCCATTGTCTGAAGACGAGCCAGGGAATTAGTTTCGAAAATTTACTCATAAACTTTACTGTTTCCCAGTAAATTCCATATTCCTAAATAGTTATGGGTATATTTGCCCACTCTCGCCCGGAATCTGCGGTCTAGTATTCAAAGATAAGAGTAGTGGGAAACTGTCTGAGTATTCAAGTCAGGTTAACAATAATGAAGATAAAGGAGGTTAAAGTAAACAAACAGCTGGGCTGGTGTGGGTGTTTCCGTCTTATAGGCAAGAACATCTGCTGTCATTGTCATTAGTTCATATAGGCTCGTTTGAGGTAGGGAGCAAAGTTGTCATCTAGATCCGTCGAGCCGACGGTCGCCGCTGCGTGGAGAATTTTCTGCATTTGGAGAACACTGGCCTCAACTCCGCTATGCTCAACCTCTGCGGCATTATCCTCCTCTTCATTTTCTGAGACTGGGGCGCTGTCTCGTTCGGCGTCACTGTGTTCTGATCTAGGGGACTCTCGGGATTCGGACATTGCAGGGATTGAGTCTACGAAGGCTTCCTAAACCAGGGATAAATCAGTCGTGCGTCAGACATAGCAGGCTTACAGAAGTCTTTCGTATTAACGTTAAAAATCAGGAAAATATGCCCAACGGGACTAACTACTACGAAAGGACCGCACAAGAAAGTTGTCCTATGTCCTAAAATAGAACATAAATTTAACAGCTGATCTATCCTGATTGGGGGATTGAAATGAAAATGTTCGTTTTGCTTTGCACTGGAGATCTTAGCGTTTTGGTTAAAGCCTTGGTTGATGATCAACCGACTCGGCGTGCAGTTGGGATTGGGGTACCATTGGTTGGAAATCGCAAATAAGCCAGAAATGACCACTGCAATGTTCTTGTTTGTAAAAAATGTTAAATTCCAATACTCAGGGTTAACGTAAGTGTCAGCCTTCACTTACATCTGATCCTTGGAATAGGGACATTTGGTTAGAAATCAAGTTGCGATGCATTGTTAACATATGCAAGAAATATTGCTGCAGAATGCTCGCACTTTTGATACATACGTCGCAACCCTCTTTACATGTATTAAGTACTTTAGTACACTTCACATCTCTTATAATATACGCTTCGACCGTCTCTAGTGATGGGTTCAAATGAGAACCCGAAAAGTCAGACTAACATACTTCTTGTTCAAGTGATCGCATCTACTTCTTCTGAAGCTAATGTTCTAAACGTCATCTTCACGCGCTCTGATTAAACTGTCGCTATTGCTCAATGCTTCTGACGGTATGTTCTGGCGGTCGCGAATAAAAAAACTTAGTTTGAATACCCTCAGATCATGTCCATTTTCGTAAGTCTAACAAAGGCTAAATCCGTGGCGTCCGTGCATCCAGAAAACATGTGGCTTTGAAAGCGCATGTCACTATTGGTGTTTTCAAAGATTTTTAGGAAAAAAGGACTATTACTTACCTTACTCTTCGACGGATAATGATGCGCGCTCCTCTGAAACAGAAATAATTTTATGTCGCTGTTATGGATCTCGGTAAGTGAAACAAACACATGAAAGACAGTTGCGAACAAACTGCAAGAGTTACCGCCAAGATCCTCTAAATGGTAGAACCATGAGATACTCTGTAGTTTTAAAAAATGAGCAGTCTTAGTCGATGAAATAGCCGCCGCTCTGCCCGATGGAATTTTCCAAAAAACTGGAATAAATATTTTGTCCTCCTCATAGCCTCTAAACAGCCTACACGGCCATGACAAACGGATCCCACACTATTAACTCCGAGCAATCATTTCGATATTTCGATTTCTCAAAAGGTTCAGGTCAATGATCAAACGAATCCACAACCGAAGATACGCTCGCCAGTGAGTATGCAGACAACTAGAAACCCGCCATTACAGTCTCCGCATTTGGAGGGAAAATCCGGGGATGCTCCTGTCTGACCCATTTTTACTGACTTTAAGAAACGAAGTTAAAAGCATATCTTTTGTCAGTTTATGAACGGTAGAAAGTTAATTAAGCCCCTTCCCAGTCTCTTTACTCATTGTGTAGAAAAAAAGGTAAAAATGGCTTTTCGCAAACTTTCCATATATCACAATTACTTGGCAAAACGGGAACACTCCACGAATATTATTCGAATTACAGCCGAAAATGGGGGGAATAAGTTGGGAGGCCATAACTTTTGACAATTGATGGTCTCCTATCCTAGTACTTGCAATTTCTTGAAAGTACACATCAGCCTTTAATTCAAATAAACTTCTGTGTAAAGCAGTTTAACGTACTTCTCAAAAAACTTGTTATTCACTTAAACAGGAGACTATTGTGCCCGTTAGGTTTGCTGATGCGTCGAGATGACAAGTGCAGGATGAATATAAAACACAATTTATATGTTTTAATATCCAATTTCATAACTTACTTCCTCTCCGTAGATGTCAATGACTTCCTCCACCGTATCTAAATC